CCTTTTTGTACAATTAATCTAGGTGTATTTATGTGTATTCTCATGCTATTCCCATTTTCACTTAGTAAGCACTTTTAAAGCTTCTGTTGGCTCATTTTATAATTGCCCATGGATATTCTAATGTTTAAATCACTATAGAGGGCTGAGGAGATAGCTCAGTGTCATAAGTACCTGTCTGGCAAGCACAAGGTCCTGAGTTTGATCCCTGGTACAAAAAATAAATCCCTATAGAATGTCAACAGACAGAAGTTATATATCTCTATACAAAAGTTTGGAAATCAAAACCATATATAATGGTTTTAGCAAGACAATACTGATGATACTTTGTTACATACTTAAATTTGTGCTTTGACATAACACTTGTAACCAATCATCGTTATCTAATGTATAAATTTTTTCACCTAATTAGTAATGCTTGACTGGGATATACATCACAAGTTTTTTTGTTAAAGGCAGAGTTTTGAATCTGAAAAAAAGTCTTATCACAATAGGAAATCTTTGTTTTACATTTTGGAAGACCTATATACCTGGAACCAAAAATACACTTAATACAATGTGAGATTAATACTAATGAATCAGCATATACATGATTCTGGATGGGAAACCTTTGTTTCTCAGTTTTGTACCAAAATCATCTTTTAAGAGAAAACTTTATTGTAATATTTTCTGAAAAACTTTCTTTTAACCAATGACCAATTTTTTGATGGTGGTGTGGCCTAAAAGACTATTGAGATTATTGGAGTTCCTCATTACTGAACAAAAAGGTCGGCCACGCCTCTGTTCATCAATTAGAGTCCTCTCTAATGATTTTTTTTCTACTGTAGGGAATTTTTAATTAGCTTAAACCTTTTAATGAACTGTGTATAACCCAATTTTGACATCACTTTGACTATCTGGTAATTTAAGGAAAAGTATGCTTTTATGTCCATATTTCAAATTATATTTAGAACAAATCATTAAAAAAGAAAGAAGAGGAATAACTGGTCACAGAATTACACACAAACACATAAACAAATACATAGTACACACACACAAACATCTTTGTAAAATCAAGAGCGTGCAAACATATCTTTGGTCAAATTAAATTATAGTAATTCTATTATAATTTTTAGAAATTTATAATTGTAATTACACTAGACAGACTTTGTTATTTGTCAATTTTCAGAGATCTCTTACTGGAAAAATTTAGAAGGAATAAAATCTTTATCTATAATTAATATGCATATTTTGTATATTTGCATAAATATAACTTGGTACAGGGTCTCACTATGCAGCTCTGCCTCATAGTGATCCTCCTGTTTTCAGCCTTCTCAGTGTTGGGCTTACAGGTGTGGGCCACCACACACAGTCTTGGTGGCCAGTTCAGTGTGCCTAGGGGCTGTGCTGGTGTGACATGTGGGATTGGAGATTGAACCCCAGTCCCTGCACTTACTTAAGCAGGTGTTTAGTCCACTGAGCTATCTCACCAGTCCCCAACATTTATTTTTTTAAGCCTGAGCTAGATTTAAAAGAGCCATTTTACAAAAGTTTATATTAAAGTCTACTAGAGGGTATTCTAATGTTACCCTTTCTAGTGCTATTTTACTGTGTGTTGAGCATTTTGGGAATCATTGACTAGGTTTAATGAGTACAAGCAGTCCTGTGTTAGCATAATAATGGCAGCTAACTCTGCCTTTTGAACATAGTGAAAAGGAGTGTGTTTTTATCTTTCCCTTTTCCTTTTTATTTTTTAATAATCCTTTCTCATACAATCCAATTTACCACAATTAAAACAATTTGTACAGCATAAACTTACTAATCATGAAGGATTAATCTATGTTCATTTGCTAATCCTTGCATTAATCCTATTACATAGGTTTATTGCATCACTGGATGATTGCATCATTGGATAAGACCATAGGAAAAGCTCCTAATGGCATTTTTGCAAGCCTCTGAGTCTCTTTTCTTCCTTGCAATAAAGTCTGAGTCACTGCCACTTATCATCATATGAAAGAGCTAAAGGATTAGTTAGGGGAGGAGCCAAAGGTTGAATTTTAGCAAACACTGAAGGTGGATCTGAAACATCCAATTGCTTCACCAATTTTGATATCCTTTACAGGAGTAACCTCTTCATTCTGAGGAATAGAGGGAGGTTTAGGAAAGCAAATTTCAGAGCTGTTTGCTCTTTTCTGGGGACTCAATTCCTCAGAGTCAGACTTCAGGAATTCCAAAGCCAAGGAAATAAAATAACACAGTCCAAGTAAGAGTGTTGTAGACAGCTGAATTAGACAGAAATATTATAGGCAGTCAGACAGGGCCAGGCACTCAAGAAGAGAGCATGGAAGACAAGATACTTTACAAGTGTAAGAGGGATGGATACTCCTGCTGCGGGCCAGACCGAAAGACCAATGATCAAACAAATGCTGACCTCCCTAAAGATAAGCAGTCATGATTAATTATCACCTTGAAGAAGCCAGGAAGAATCACTAATCCAACCACTACTGACTGACTACTAGATAAACTTCTGTTCTATATTCATGCCTGCTTGCTATGTGACTGGCTTCCCCATTCAGTTCTGGATTTAATCAATTTTACATAAACAATGGTGCTTGTAATCTCAGGTTGACCGTAGATTTGTCCCCCCTCATGCCTACCTAAGTAAATTCCCATGTCTCCACCTTAGACCTGCCTCATCACATGGTCTTACTCTATAAAAGTCCCTGGAAGAGAAAGCCTCCCAGGGACAACCCACTTGAGTCTCCTTTCTGTCCCTCTCTCTGAAAAGTTTTCTTTCTCCAGTAAATATATTCTGCTCTTAACTTCCGTTTGTTCCTAAAATTCATTCTTTGGTTTTAGAGAACACAAACTTGTCCCAGGTACTTTTCAGGTTAGGAATTTCATTTTCCCTATAGCAAGAGGACATTACTCTGACTTTTCTTGCTGCTCTTACTTATTCTGAGTGTACTTTACCCACACGGTCCAGCCAACTCTCAATTTATTGTTGCAGGCAACAGAGTTAGATAGGAATATTATAGGTAGCCAGACAGGGCTAGACCCTCAAGGAGACAGTATAGAAGACAAGGTGTCTTTGTAGCTTGGAGAGACAGATAGCCCTGTTGTGGGCCAGACCTGATGACAAAAGAGTAAACAAATGCAGTCACATACCTCCTTAGGAGTGGGTCACAGGAATTGGTATTCTAAATAGGTATTAATCACCTGGATGCCAGAGGGAGTCACTGACCCAACCCTCTACAAGAAAAGCCCCTGTTCTATATTCATGCTTGCTTGCCAACCCACTTGGCTATGTGACTCACTTCCCCATTTGGTCCTGGATTTAGTCAATTTTACCTGAGCATTGTGTTGGAACCTTATTGGTTGAACATAGTTTTTTCCCACCTTGTGCCTACTTAAGCGAGTTCCTATGCTCTAACCTTAGACCTGCCTCACTACATGGTTTCGCCCTATAAAATTCCCTAGAAAAGGCAACTTCCCTGGGTAATCCGAGTGGGTCCCTATTCTGTCCCTCTCTTGGACAAGAGCTTTCTTTCCCCCAATAAATACATTCTGCTCTTAGCCACCATTGTTCCTAGAGTTAATTCTTTGTTTTTAGAGAACACGAACTTGTGGGGCCAGTGAGATAGCTCATCAGGCTAAAGTGCCTGCTTAGGTAAACTTAAGCAAGTGCAGGGACCCTGGTTCAATCTGGGGCACTACATGCCAAGGCAGCCCCTCGCCCAGGGTGGGCTGAATCAGCCACTAAGAAAGAAAGAAAGAAAGAGAGAGAGAGAGAGAGAGAGAGAGAGAAAGGAAGGAAAGAAGGAAGGAAGGAAGGAAGGAAGGAAGGAAGGAAGGAAGGAAGGAAGGAAGGAAGGAAGGAAGGAGAACATGAACTTGGCCCAAGTATCTTTCAGATTGGGAGTCTGATTCCCTTTTGCAATTATCACTGGTCGTCTTCTGTGCCTATACACTGGGGTGTCACATGTTGTATGAAATAAGTTGGAGCTAAAAGAAATGACAAGAAGACTGGAATAATATAGCCACAGAGGACTCATGAGCTTACTCTCACTCCAAGGGAGTCCTTGGCCACTGAAACCGCTCACACTTATTGAGGACTAACAACAGGCTAAGGAATGTGCGTAACTAACTTGGTGTGGCCAAACTTCCATTTACATAGCCTTCCCGCATTCACCAGACTCTTAGTTCACACAACACTAGTCCCTAATGTCTCAGGTAAAGGAAAAAGAAGAGACAGGGCACCTCCAGGAATTTGTTACCCTATCACCCAGTATGCCAGAATTACAAGTGCCAAGTGCCTCAGGCTCTGTTTTAGTTCCTTGCTTCCTCAGGCCAGAGGCTTCTGGCTCACATCACTGCACCTATGCCCTTTTATGATTGCCATCAATACTGGAAAGGAGCTGTGGAGACTCCTGTACCTCCCCATAAACCACACTTCTTGCACTGGTGTAATGGAGCACAGTGAGAGTCGGCAACTTGGGCTCTTTGGGGGCACAGAAACAGTGCTCTGCTCCTCCCTAGCTTGTGACGTGGCCTTCTCAGTTTCCTGTGGGCAGAGACCTGAATGACTTCAGGTGAGCTTATCGTCAAGGCTCCCCTTCCACCACCAGCCTATGCTACTCTTGCTCTGAGAGCCAATGATTTCCCTATTATAAGCTAAAGTCAATTAAAGAGAACTTTTTTTGATGTGACTTCCCATCTCCTTCTATGTCAATTGAACCTGTGTACACAACTTCTCCATCCTAACACCCATGGAATGAGGGAAAAACAGAAGGAAGGAAAAATGTATAGCCTGGAATTAGAAACTCCTGAGGTCCCCTTTCCCACAGAATGAAAATTGGTGAGCAGTGGGTAAAAACAGAGAAAGGTCACAGCACTGGGAATGCCCGTTTCCTTCACCCTGAGCCCCACCCACAGCCCTCACCCAGCACCTCGCTTTATCTCTCTCCAGATCCACTTCCTTTGCTCTTCGCTCCTCCCTTTCGAGCAGCTGTCAAGTTGTTTTGGTATCTCTTTTGTTGAACAGTCTGGCACCGCACAGGGATGCCTCAGTTGTGAAAGGCAGCAGGTGAGACAGAGGCCGTGAAAAGATGGGTAGCAGCACAAGCTACTTTTATCACCCGGTGAGTTGTGGGCTGGCCCAGCCTAAGCTGGCTGCACGGCCAGGAGAGAGCAGCTCTGCATCACTGAGGAAATGACTTGGTGGGAGGGGGTGCTGGTGGGGGAATGGCAAGGAAAGCCTGAGGAGGGTGGGAAGGCCAGAGGAGGTCATCTGGATGTGGTTTCTTTTCCATGTCCTTGTTCAAGGCAGCCTCTTGGACTCTAGGGATAGTAATCCAATTCAGTGGCCAATTTAGGCATTTGACACTGAATTGGTGACCTCACTCTGGGTGCTTGCTCTACCCTATTCATGGAAGACTATCTCTTCTTCAAATGTGATATTCTGTATAAAAAAGATATGAACAGGCATCTGGGGGACAACAACCCACATGCAAGGCATTCAATCCTCCTTCTCTGGAGAGGCCTCTGGGGGTTAGCCATTGTTTCTACATCTGTCTTATGGGCATCATAAGCTAGCCCACCTTCTGGAGTAGGGGAAATATCAGGTAATGTAGCCTATCTAGTGTGTTTGAAAGTGTGTGCTTTGGGAGTGTTGGGCATTATCAGCAGTCCTGGGGCAGTAGGCTTAATCTCTGTGGTATCTGTGTCCTGAAGGATGACTTGGAGCCTAGCAGTCAGAGATGCCCCTGGGTGTCTGCACATGGGCTGGCAGAGAAGTAAGGAAAGATTAGGATTGTGCCTGTGGTATGGAGCGCAAAGAGAAAACTTTCCTACATTTGTACCTGCCTGCCAGGGGCAATGATTAAACATTGTAGGGCTTATTGTTCCACTTTTGTATATGAATGATGTTTGAGGAGTACGCACTTGCCAAATGTCCCGTGATGGAAAGCTAAGGGAAGATGCCTGGATTTACCTTCAGAAGAGGGGGTGGCCACAGAGAGAGCAACACTGTGGGAAATATTGCTCGGTCATTGCCCACCAGGTCCTGGCACAGGTAGGGGATGAGCAGGGGGAGTCACAGGGCATCAGAGTGGGCTAGCAGGTAGGCCACAAGACTAGCTCACTCAAGTAGGAGACACTCTTGTGCCAACCAACCCTCCTGATATCTACCCCGGGGGTCCATGCCCCTCAGGAATACCATTGCTTCTGTGTGGGAGCTTCTTGGAGGTGGTGGGTCAGGCTGGACAGAGCTGCATGGGACTCTGTGGGACACAGGGTCCTACGGTGTCCCTGAGGGCACATTATGCCTTCTTTGGTTCCAGAGGAGATGAGAAAGCACATAAATGGAGAGAGTTAAATAGGCCTCAGGGCACTGAAAGAAAGAGGACAGTGCCACCCTCACAGTGTGGGCATTACCCATCCACCCAGCTGGCCTACCTCAGTGCCTGTTCACCTCTCATAGTTGCAAGCACCCATCCTCAAAATGCCACTGTAGGAGAAGTCACAAAACCACGGGAGGGCTGAGCAACTGAGCCCGCTGGCTGGTGTTGGGCATCTGGCTCCCTGTCCTAACCAGCCTCTTCCACAAACCAGGAAGGAAGCTGGATTGACAGCAAGGATGGCCTGGGGAGGCCATGCGGGGCCAGGAATAAGGGTGTGGTCTGTTTTATGATAAGGCAGCCTACATGAGGGTTAAAATCCTGAGTTCTGGGGTGCAGATCTAAGATCTCTCACTGAATGGCTGTGGGGTTCTGTGCACCTGAGATGTCTTTTTGTGCTGAGGTGGCCTCGTGTGTGAATGGATCAGTGACAATGAAAAAGGTTGTTAGGAGGAAAAAAAAATAGATAATATAGACACAAAAGGTGGGTCACCAGCAGGCTGAAGTTCCAATTGTCAGTGCCTGAACTAGGTGCCCTCCAGTGTCATGGGGACCCCAGAAATAGGATGCAGAAATTTGACTGTAAGTGTCAGCTCTGTTTTCTAGACATTCATGTAGAAGGAGGAAATAAAGGTGCCCTCAGGCAGGACTACCAGAAGGGAGCAAGTTTGGGCTCCTCTGAAGTGTTTATTTGTGTCAATTCAAACAGCTGCCTGATTAAGTCCACAACTTAGCCAGAGATTATTCACAAGCAAGAGAGGTGACATTAATATTTAAGCAAGTAGAAGGGGCCCCAAGATGCAGAAAGGTGAGGTGATTTCTCCAATACCAGAACTGCTGGCATAGGGATCTGGCCCAATGCCCTCTCTGGGGACAGAAAAAAACTCCATCTCTTTGTGTGAAGGGAGCCAAAGAGAATCCTCTTGTTTGGAGCCAAGTTCTTTCACTGGCCTTCACACTTCCAAATTCCACGGCAACCTTGGTCATCCAAGCATAAAACATCCAGAGGCTGTAGGGAGAGTTTTATCTGTTTCCTTTGCAGCTTCTTGAGGTTGGTGGTGTAGATCACAGTAAAAAGGTTGTGGGGTATTCTATGGCAAACACTACACAAAGTACAAATAAAAGATAAAGAGCCAGCATCTTCTTGCTTCTGTGGATATGTCCTCTCCATGGGCCTAGACTATGCCACTTCTCTCTTACAAAGGCCATTGTGATTACATGGGAATGAACTCAACCCCAATGTGACAACCTGGACCTACGTATGGCAACCTGGGGCCCATCTCTGAGACCCTTCACTTACTCATATCTGCAAAACTTTTGGGTATAGATCACATTCATAGGTTCCCCGTCCTGGGTTGGAGTGTGGATATTTCTGAACTTGGGGGCGAGGATAAGTATGTCATTCTGGCTTCAGTGCCTTCCTTAGTACTCCATAAAATTAGCAATAATGAATTGTCATTACTTGGTTTGTTAATTTAGTTTTGTACCAATAGTATCTTTTGATTAAAAAAATTCTTATTGTCTTATATTTTGAAAACTTAACCTTTTGGCAATGACATATGTAAGCATATCACAATAAAATGTGTTTAATAACATTTATTGGGGTGTCTCACACAAGGTTATTGACATCATTGGAGCTTCCAATTAATGAACAAAGGCTGGGATAATTTTTTTCCCAGGCAGTTTATCTTTTATTCAACAAAGAGGGAAATTACCAATGATTTTCCAAGCCCAAAGGATCCACATTTAGTTACATTACCAAATTGCTAATGACCTATATGAAAACCAATTTTGATATATAGACCAGTTGGCACCCCAGGTGGAAGCATGCCTTTTAAGTCTATAAGCCAAATTAAATTATGTACAAATGATCCAAAAATGAAACAGGAACAGAAAAAAGAGGGAAAAAATGTTGAGCTCAATGAAAAAGTTCGTTATAGATAGAACAAACAACATATTCACACAACCTGCTTACAGTGTCTGAGTGTACACGAAATCTTTTTTGCCAAATTCAATTATAAGCTTTTATAATTTTTTAAGTTCATAATTATAAAAAGAATAGCCAGATTTTTTTTGTAAGTCAACTAGCAGAAATCTCTTATAAGAATTTGAAAAAAAATTAAAAAGTAAAAAATAAAATAAAAAAATTTTATCTAACTTAGGCCCAGTCATGTTTGGTTCATGATAAATCTCAGGTAGAGAATCTGCCCAAGTAATAGGTCTCAATAATGGTGGATTAGAAACATAAGTCCAGTACTCCTGAAATAAGTACTACTGATAGCGGAGCCACTAAGGCAATCAGAAGGTTTTCAGGAATTCGTGGTAGACGGCCAGTCTGATTGACAGGTCTCCGGGGGCAGGCCTCATCAGATGGGCTCGTCCTCTGGAGCGGCTGGATAATTGAAATACCTTGGGTAAAGACTTACTATTTTGATGATAGTATGAATGAGACTATCTACCTGCATCAATTGGAGGAGTAAATGTGATTTTTGAATCAGCTTGCTGGCTCTCTTATGTTAGAAATCCAGGTAAATTAGAATGAGGCCTTAGGTGACCAATATAAAAGGGTGTTGTTTCTTTATAAATTGCCTTTTGTAGCCCGAGAAACAAATTGAATAGAGGCAAACATAAAGTCAACCATAGGATAGTGCTCTCAAGTCTCTGAAAAGATGGAACTGCATAGGATACATCATTAATTAGATTAATAGATTTAGAGTTAAATTGTGGTATGACAAATAAAATAGCAGTAATTGCAGACCTTGTGCAGAAAGTCTTGCAGTCTCTATTGCCTGTTGATAGCCCTTCACCAAACAATAGATTTGCCCTTTGATGAACCATCAAGAAAGGAGACTACTGCATCATAAATACATTCAAATTTATAATATTTAGAGCAATATGTGAATGCATGAGAAAAAATGAAAAGATACAATGACTGCAAAAATGATTATCAATTTGTCCTGTAAAATATGCAATTTCTACTTGCCCATGTACAGCTTCTTGTAGCTCAGCCAAATGTTGGTTTAAATCAATAGACAATATGATTGCAACAGGATTAATACCAAAGAGCTGTTTGGATCTTGTCCTTCCTATAGTGACAACCTTGGCAATTTGTGCTGAATATAATTGCAGAGTTTTGATGAACTGATTAGAAAGTTAAAGCTACTCAATAGGATAAATGTGCTCATTATAAAATCGTCCTATGAGACTTGTGGGAGAAAGAGGAGTATTTGAAATGTAAATCATAAGAGGATAATTTATATTTATTCTAAAAACTTGATGCTGTCATAACATTTTTTCAACCAAAATTAGCCCCTTTTAGCCTCAGGAGATAAACTACAAACAGAGAGAATAGTTGGATTTCCCTGTGAAGTGTTACATAAATGTTTTAATTGATTAAACAGCAATACCTAATTTTGACATTATCCAATTTATGTCTCCAAATAGTTTTCGAAATCATTTAGAGTTTTTAAATGATCTTGATGACTCTAGCTTTTGTGGCCTCTCTGCCCTGTTAGTCACTACCATTTCCAGGTAATAAAAAGAACTGGTAATTTTACCTTGTCTGAAGCAATGCAGAGGATATTAAATCTTTTTTTTTTCCTCTGCAACGAGTCATACAGTTGTTTTTTAATTGGAGCTGCCAGTAAAACACCATCAATATAATGAATTATGTACACAGGAGAATAGACTTGTCTGACTTCTGTAAGACCTGGGGCATAAAGGACTGGATCAAAGCTGGACTAGTTCACATTCCTTGAGGTAATATGACCCATCAATACAACTGCATTGGCTCTTTAAAATTTAAACCAGGTACACAAAAAGCAAAATGCAACCTAGCTACAGGAAAAAGAGGACTGTGAGAAAAGCAGTCTTTTAAACCAATCACACTGAGGCCAGTCTGTGGGCACTGCTCTTGGGCTTGGCAAACCTGCTTGAAGCACCTCCTAGGAAGGAAGCAAGGATTTGCAGCTCTTAGAGCTTGCAATGTCTTGCATTTGGCTGTTTTCTTTAGAGTCACAAAGACAGAAGTATTCCAAGGACTAACTGAGTTTTCTAAATGTCTTAGCTGGAATTGTTCCTCAAGTAGTCTATATAGTTAGATAAGTTTTTCCCTGTTAAGGGACCACTGATCTGCTCAAACAGGTTCCTCAGTTTTCCATTGTAAAGGCAGAGAGCTGTTTTGGATGAAGTAGCACTAATGGCCCATGTTAAAAATAACCCTGCTGATATCTAATACCAGGTTTGTGGTTCTTTGGTGAAGTCCTTACAGACTCTTTGATTCCCTGTAAGATCTTTCCTAGGCCCATCTTTTGGATATCCCATGTTAATCATTGTCTGTCTGTTAGGATTTGAATCTTCTTGGTTAATTTCAGAATCAGAAGTTGTTTGTTAAAGGTCAGAATCATTATTCAATATGAATTTCTACTTTTGTAACAAATCACTACCCCACAAATTGACCAGAATAGGTGGTACATATGGTAAAATGAAATGCTTTGCTGGTCTGTCCCCTCATAAAATTGGCCTTGAGGCACTTTGTAGTACCCGCTGAGGGGATCCCAGTCCTATTGAAGAGGTAGGGGCCCTTTGTGCTGACCACGTGGAGGATCCTTGTTCTAACGTGAGTATAGACACACCCTACCCATGTCTATTAGAGCTTCAAAGCATTTTTTTCATTGAACTTTATAAATAAAACAGGCCTCTTCTTACTCACTTTTTGTATAAAATAAATTTCCTTTTTGCAGTCTGGCTCTGAGGGTATTATTCCTGCAGGAAATGTCCATATTTAACAAAATAAGGTTTATCTATAGGTAACAAAATCAACTGCACCACATTTCTCCCTGTCCAAAAGCCCACAGATCTGTGATACATGCAAAAACTCATATCTCTTCTCAATAATCACCATCAATGATCCTCAGAGTTATTCCTTTTAAATTTAGATCAGGCTTTCACAGAACAAGACCAACTGTCCCTTCAGGTGGTGGACACAAAACTCCCGTGGGAATTGGGGTAGGTTTTTCTCCCCTGACCAACATGACTCTGCAAGCTGCAAGGAGCTCTAATCCTGCACTTTGGGCTGCTCTCCTGATGTGGGAATGTATATCTCTCTGGGGAGCCACCTTTGAGGTTGATGTTGAACTTGCTGGTGTGTTCACGCCGGATAAAGCTGAATGACAATCTCACTCACAAGTTGTGTTTTCACTGTTGTTTGGCTGGCCTGAGGAAAGCCCCTTATCTCATTTTTCAGCAAAGGTGTGCCATCCTTACGGCTTTTAAAATGGCAAAGTCTGGGCTAATGTCTCTGTCTTTGTCATCTCGCACAGCATCTAGGTACGGGTCCCAAGCCCTCCATGCAAAAGGAGTTACAGTTGCAGCACCTGTCCCCTTAGATCCAGAAAGAGCTCTACAATTTTTTCTAGTGTGCCCCAGTTTTTCACAGTTCAAACATTTTTTGTTACCCCCTCCTGCATTGTTAAAACCAGCCATAACCTGAGACATCACAGTTGGCGGATACGATTCAGTGCCAATAAACTGACAAGCTCCGATGTATGTCATTGGATCACTGGCTGAGTCTACAGGATTTAATACTTGCTTGCAGTCTGTCAGCATTTGTATATGTCTGTCAAGCGGAGGATTAGAATGTCCGCAGCTTACGTGTTTGAAACCTGTCTGTGAATAATTTTTTGTAATCTAGCCACAAGTTCAGTAAAGGGATCCTTAGGGCATTGAAACATGTCTAAAAATGACTGTGGGGGTCCCTCCCTCTGGAATAGCTGCCCATGAACTTTTTAGTGACTCTACCAATTGTAAATAAAGTTCATCAGGACGTCAGGGTGACCCGAAATCAATGCCTTTCGTCCTGTCCCAGAAAGTATCTCCTCATTTATTTCCAGATATGGGTTAGAACTCCTTCTGTTTCTCTATGCTTGCTCCAAAACAAGACATTTAAATTGCACATCAATGTGTAGAAATTGAACAGGAGTCAGGCAGATTTACACTAGATGCCTGATATCATCTGCTGTCCGTTGATATGTAATCAAAACATTCTCCTGCTGTACAGAACCTGAGCTGTAAAGGGGACTGCTTCCCATTATTAACACCTTTTAGAAAACATTTTAGCTTCAGAATTTCAAGATTCAAATGAGATACAAACTCCTCATTATGACTATGTTGCTGAATTCTAACTGAAGCAAGCAGGGGTGTCAGTGACTTCTCTTTTAGTGACTTTTTTCCTCTGAAATCTGTAAGTTTCTGGATAGAGCTGTATGGGATGTTCTTTTGAAAGTCTCCCATTTCTGTCTAAATTCCTGGGAGCTCTTTTGTTTCCTCTGTGTCTGAGTTAAAGGTTTTGACTGTAAGCCCTGTAACAGACTTAATACCAGAAGATCTAGGTTCCAAGGTGAAAACGTCTCAAGGGAAATGATTTTTCCTGTACTCTGGGCCATTGAAACATTTTTTTCAACTCTTTCTCAATCTTCAGTATCTACAGTGACTGTCTGAGGGAACCAGGCATTATATTTGGTTACCTCTTATAACATTTTGCCACATGAGCCCCTGAGGATTTAAGCAAAGCTTTATGTGTCTCTGCTTCTTGATTGAAAGTTTTTGGCTTATTTTACTCCCAGATAAAAATGTCTTGTTCAGAGCAGGAAGAGGGGCACCTATTCATCGAGGAATGCTTATCTTCCCTCCTTTCTCCAGCTTTCCCAGGTGAAGTTTTCATCTTCTGAAGGCTTTTTCTATCTCCCACAATGTCCTCCCTTGGTAGACTTAATCGTTCCGACTAAAAATTTCCAGTGCAATGACTAGATGTCCCTGTTCAGGCATAAGTTGTCCCACTATAATATACCTTAGTTACTTCAGACTGTAGTATTCCCCATTGTTGGGGCACCTCTGTGCTGTCAGCCACTTACCTGTCCCTTTCCTCCCAACAGCCTAATCCTTTCTTCGCCTCCATCCGAGGTGGGATGTACCAATACAAGGTGATCGTTGTATCAGGCAACATACTGCCCAATGGTGAGAGGTAAGATGAGGCCTCTAGGGCTCTCTGGCTCCTGGAAATAAAAGGGAAGTAATAGGGGCCATAACAGCTGGGGGACAGAGAGAGTCCATGTAATCTGCCTTCCCCAGTTTGGAAATCAACCTGCGTGCTGGGACTGACATCGCCTTTCACTTCAAAGCTCTATTCGATGAAAAATATGTGGTCCGAAACTCTCAGATCCGGGGCTCCTGGGGGCGAGAGGAGACAGACCCACCTGGCAGCATGCTCCTCATCCCAGGACAGAGCTTCACGGTAAGATGCTGCATCCTGGAACTCTGGGACCTTGCTGCATGCAAGTGGACAAGGGATGAGAAAGTCTTGGGGTACTTTGAGTAGGTTGGGGATCCACGCTTGTGATTTGATGATTGTCTCCCAAGGAAGAGAGATGTGTTGCAAATTATTATCATGCTATGACTATTGTCACCCAAGGAAAGAATTAATGTCTACTTTCCTTGCCAGAGGTCACATCCTATTTGTGCCTCATGGAACTCAACACTGAGGTGCCAGCCATGGATTTGTATATTCACTCCATAACTATTTGTCACCTTTTAATTGGGCTCCCTTTGTGCAGGAAATAACCATGTTCACAAATGCAACCAGGAAACAGAGAGAGCAGCCTACCATGGGACTGCAACCTAGTGTGGGAGGAGCTAGGAGACCAAGGTATGAGCTGATCAGCACGCCTCAGGAGAGGGACTCTGCAGTTAAGGTCCTGCTTTTGGGTGGGGGGCAATGTGCAGAGGAGGGAGGGGCCTGGACAAAGCTGCACTGCAAGGTGGACAGCGAGCGGGAGAGATGTGGGGTGTGGCCACAGGCCTGATCACTCTCCCTATGCTTTCAGGTCACACAGAACTTAGAAAAAAAAAAAGCAAACCTAAAACAAAAACATCCCAGTGCCATGGCACATGCATCCATAGTAGTAACAATACTATGTTGGGTCAAAGGATCTCAAATTGGAAGTTAGCCTGGGTAATTTAGTGACTTAGGGAGACTGTCTAAGGTAAGGAGAAAAAATTAAAAACAGGTGAAGGGATTGAGTAAAGGATCTGGGTTCATTCCATAGTACCACACCACAGGGAAGGAAGGATGACAGAAAGAAAGAAAGAAAGAAAGAAAGAAAGAAAGAAAGAAAGAAAGAAAGAAAGAAAGAAGAGAAAAAAAGAAAGAAGACATAGACAAAAACAAAGAAACAGTGAGAAAAAGGAAAGAAGAAAGGAAAAGGAGAGAAGAAAGGAAAGCTGGAAGGAGGGAAGGAAGGAAGGAGGGAAGGAGGGAAGGGGGGAAAGAGGGAAGGAGGGAAGGAAGGAAGGAAAGAAGGAAGGAAGGAAGGATAATTGAAGATTGGTCCATGATGCCTGGGTCTTGCCCCCACCTTGGAGACTGTCCCCTGGGGATCCGCTTAGGCAGAAGCTGTGTCCTGGAGGCCTGCACTCTGCACTCTGGGTGGGAAATGCCTGGTGGAGAGCTCTGGGGCTGGGAAGGGGGCTTGGATTTTACTACAGGGAGAAGCCACAGAGGAACAAGAGCAGGGACACTGCCTTTGATTGATGGATAGCTATGTGACCACAAGGAAGTGCCTTTCAGCCAAGGACAGTCACTGGGTCTTTGGGGTTCCATTTCCTCATTTACAAATGGGGCTAAGAATCTTGGGATCTCAGAGAGTTGTGGGAATGGCTGAGGTAGTCTCTGTGCACGCTGGGACAGTGCCTGCGTCCAAGTGTGATCAAAGTGTGACCACTGTATTTGTGCCCTGACTGCCTCCTGGACAAGGTCCTGGGCTGGAGAGGAACAGTCAGGGGGCTGCTGCTGCTGCAGAGTCAAGGCATGGGGACCCAGATGACACCATCCAGGACAGCTTGCCTGGTGGACTGAGGAAGCAGTTGGTCCACTGGAAGGTGTTGGGTGTGGGCAGGGAAGGCTTGGCAAAGGGGGTTGAATGCTGAGGTACCTGGCAGTTACAAGGGGGCGGAGATGCAAGCTGGGAACAATGAATGTGAGTTCTCAGGGAAGAGAGCATAGGATATTTAAGATGGAGCAGGTCCATCAGCACAGGTTAATTGCAGGTTTGGGGAGAGGAAGAAAGTGGGAAGGAGGGCTCCAGAGCCTGCGGGAGGCTGAGGACTTTCCATAGAGTTGAATGCAAGGCCTTTCTGCCCAGGTGCAGATCACATGCGAACCCACCTGCTACAGGGTGACAGTAAATGACCAACACCCGCTGACATATGAGCATCGCCTGACGGACTTTCCATCCATCGGTCACCTGGAAGTAACTGGCGATGTTATGCTTACTTATGTGCAGTGCTAGTTGGGCTCCAGAGCCCAGTGAAGGGCTGGAGACATAGCTGTCTGTGTCTCTTCCCTTCCTCTGCCCTTCCTCCACCTTCTGAGCCCTGCCATGCTAACAGGTGGTGCCCTGAGGATTTCCCACCCAGGGGAGCCTCCAGGTCCATTCCTCCTGGCAGCGAGGGAGGACTGATTCTTCTGTGCACCAGCCCAGGCCCATGCTGCATAACGTTCTCAAACACCCTCCTGTCCTCTGTGCAACCCAAGCTAGTCCCAAGCCACAGCTATGCAATGGAGGGCCCAGGTGCCCTCCACAGCCCCCATTCCTGGGACCTTCACCTTCTCTCCCTGACTTTACACACTGCTGCAATACTGTTCCCTCTCTGGAGGTTACTCTGGTAACATCCTGCTGGCGTCCACCCACTGAGCAGAACTTTCTCAGCACTGGGCACTTCCCCTTCCTGGCATTCATAAAATAAAGAAAAACAATGCTCTTATTGTTGGCACACGCTCGTGGGATGGCTATGTTAGCACTGTGTCTAGAGACATGTTGGGGTCTAGATTTGAGGGTCCCTGCCATTGGAATTGGGATGAAAACAGCACAGGTTCCCTTTGGGAAGGAGTGTCCTGTCACCACACTGACTCCCAGGGAGTCTCTCACAAAGCCCACAAGGTTGTTGGAGAAAGCTTGGGTGTTCACGCTGCTGGCCTGGACCTATAATGCCGGAATATTGGTAGCTAGGTGAACCTAGGAAATATCCTCATGATACTGAGAGGAGAAAAGACTGGACACAGTGTGTGGGAGTTGAGAGAGTCAGAAAGCCAGAAGACCTGTGCCAGAGTAGGAGGGGAGCCACTGGGGCACCTGACGTAAGGAGTCATGGGTGGTGCAAGAGTAAGTACCTTGGTAAGAGGATCTGCCAGCCACTGAGCAGCGTAACACTTGCCCAGGCAAGTGCCCATGTGATGCCAGTGCCCCTGCTAATTCCTTCATAGACTTGGTCCCTCAGGAACCAGCTTAGGGCTTGCAGTGTGGTCCTTGGGCAGCAGGAGCCCAGGAAACTGGTTAGGATGCACAGTCTGAGGCCCCACCCCAGATCTGCTAAATGAGAATTCGTACTTTAGTCAGATCCTGGGAGCTTTCCTCTGTGTGTGTGTGTGTGTGTGGTGTGTGTGTGTGTGTGTGTGTGTGTGTGTGTGTGTGTGTGTGTGTGTGTGTGTTTGCAGGAGAGCAGCCCAGGTCTAGGTGGCCAGGGTGGTCATGGCCACACTATTCAAACTCTTTTCTCCTGGTGTGGAGTCAAACCTGTCCTGAGTTGTAGAACCCTTTCTGTGTCTCCCCATTAGAGTAGCTGCTGCCCCAAGCAGCACAGATAGGATAGAAGCCAAGGAAAGAGCCTGGGAGGTGGGGACAAACCTGGAGCCAGGCCAGGCTGTGCCAGACAACTGCTGGCACCCTCCCAAGTCCCTTCCTCAGCTCTGAGCCGAAGTTAGAGCTGCATCTCACATTCAGCCCTCCTTGCCGGCTGCATGCCCAGAAAAGCCCCAGTCTCTCAGGTAGGTTTTGCCCCCAGGGTCTCACTCTGACACTTAGTGCAGTCTACACGGTGCTGGGCAGTGCAGGCAGCCACGGCCTCCAGCCCACCACAATCAAGGGAAACCACAGAGTCCTGAGCATCATGCTTGGCAGACCAGTGCATTTGTCGCATGTTCAGTTTGATTGTATTTGCAGCCCATGATGGGTTCAGGCTGTAACCCTGAGGGTGCGAGGTCTCCCACTGTATGTTGATTTTGGAAAGGGAAAAGGTAGGTCCCCTCTGCTGTTCCCTGAGGCTGCCTGGCATAGGAGGGGACTGGAAAGAGTGCCTCAGTGACAGCACAGACTCTAAAGTTTCTTACTGCTTGTTATGGTTTGTCTAGTTGTCCCCCCAAAGCCTCATGCAGTCATTGGTGCATCTTCTAATGTTCGTGATTAATTCATGATCCAGTTCCGGGATTATGAGTGTGAGTGCTGCCCCTGCCCTGGGAGGGGGGCAATCTGCAATACAGTGTAAGAGGGGAGAGGCTTGCTAGCTGCCACAGCTGCTGCTCCTCCCTGTGCTGTTTTCCGCCACCATGAATGGCCGCACTCCGCCATGCGCCATGCTGCCCTGGAGCCAGCCGAGGATGGACTGGAACTTCCATTAACCATGAGCTAAATAAACCTTTCCTTTCTTAATTTTGGGTGTCAAGTATTTTGTCCTAGAAACAAGAGAAAAGTAGCCGAGACACTGCTCTACACAGAAAGTCATGATGCCAACAAGAAACTGCCCCAATTTTATTTTGAGATCAGTTGTTCAAAGTGAATATTACTGTTACATGCTGTGCACCGGACCCTGTTCAGAGTGATGTAAATCTGTTTACTGCTCTGCCAAGGTGGTGGTGTTATTACACTTTTCTATAGGAGCAGAGAAACTGAGGCATGAAGTGATATCCTTTGTTCAAGACCCCACAGCTACAACACTGCCTTTAATATGGGCAGCCATGGGCCCGGATAAAACTCAAGGCCTCAGGCAGGAGTTGTGGCTCAGAGGCACAGCCCTGGCCTAGCATGCACAAGGCCCTGGGGTCAAACTCAGCACTGCAAACAAAATAAAATCCTAAATCCCAGGGCTATAACACTGCAGGCACTGGAGGAATGGACAGCAAGAGGCTGACAGGACCCAAACATCAGCCACTCATGATGTGGCCAGTGGGAGTTGCAGGGGTCGTTAAAGAGAAAGAGTCCATAAGGACTCAGGACCCAGCAAATACACAGAGCCTAATGTGTGCCATCCTGGGATCTGACTCTGCACTGGAGCAACAGCAGCCCAGTTCCCCAAGAAGGGAGCTGTTCCTGGACTCTGGGCGGTGACTTCCTTCTCTGCCGCCCACTGTTCTTGGGTCATCAAGGATCACAGCTCTTGCTTGACCTGTGATGCTGTAGTTTCCAGTGTGGATGTCAAGTTCCACCTCCACCCACTTTCAGAATGGTTTTCAATGTCTTCTCATTTCATTGGCTTCTGGCTGGAGGTGGAGCTGCTGCAGAAGTATCCTGCAGGCTGATCACCTGTTCATCACTGAAGACCAGGGAGTATCTGCTGCCTCCCATGCCACACTCACCGTGTGACAGTCCTGGGAGCAGAGGCTGACAGCAAGGAGGTACCAGAGCCAAGGTTCTGCACCTGACCCTGTTCTTCTTGTGGAGGGTGGGTGGGCCTTCTGTAGAGCTAAAGGGGCACAGATCCTGAGTGACAGGGAGGGGGGATAGATAGTGTCGTATTTCCTGAGCACAACTCCATCACTGCATGTAGCTAGTGCTGATCATCATGACAGGTGCTAGGATGAGGCCGAAGGGCAGCTGCAGTGTTGGGCCTGAGTTGATGAAACCTATGAGCACTAAGGTAACTAACAGTAATAAGCTAACGCTGGGCTGCATGAGCAGAAGACACCCGAGAGAAGTGGTTCATCCCCTTCCACAGCGCAGTCTGCACCCAGAGCAGCCTCCACCCACCACCCAGCACCCTCTGCAGTGAGCCCAGGATGAGAGCCTGAGGCCAGGATCCAAAGCTGAGCTGTGACACTCTGGGCACCCACAGCCGGGACACAGAGCACAGAGCTGAAACAGTAACCTGAGAGACTCCAGCAGAGCCCCTCCCTACCTGGGGTGCATAGCACAGTCACTCCAGTCCCTGTTCTTTGTGACCCACAATATTTGCTGCTCTGAAAGGGGGCTGCTCACTGGAGAAGGATGTGAGATGACAGGAGGGGGGTGTGTGGTTTGCCTGGCCTGAGTGCCAGCACTGACACGTCCCTGCTGTGTGACCTTGGGCAATATACTTCCCCTCACTGTGTCTACTTTTGTTCTTAGGTAAAATGAGCATAATTAACTGCAGCTTATCTATAAAAGTCAAAGAGAACTAAATGCAAAGCATCCCCCCAAAAAAAATGAAGCATCAACACAAAGTCAATGCTCCTTAGGTCTTCTTTAACAACAAAATGTGGCCGTGTGCTTCCTCCTCCCACACCTTAATAGCCCCAGCTCTGTGTCTTCCCTGTGTAATATGAGCTGCTTAAAGCCAGGTCCTCCTGGTACCCAGAGCCCGGGAGGGGCCTGCACCTGGTGATGACTGTGGCAGTCACTGTATTTCTCAAACACTTTTGATCTCCTGCTCCCTTCTCAATTCTTGCCTTCTCCAATCAGGGTGTGAATACCAGTGGGTCTTGTATGATTAAGTGTGGCAGAAGTGGCCCTGCAGGCTCCCAGAGGAGGCTGTATACAAATTGACGAAGTCCACCACCTTCCACGCAGATGCTCTCTGCTAGAACCCAGTCAGTGCGATCTGAGGGCCCAGAGGCAAAGGCCATTGCCTCTTTTCCAGCCCATTGCTCCAGTGGACGCCAGCAGCCATAGGTGGGCAAGTGAGCAAGGAGCCTGCCGAGGATTTCACCCCCACACACAAATTCAAAATCCTGCAAAATTCCTGCCACCCTGTCTCCAGGACCCTGCTCTACACAAACATGCTTCCTTATCCTCAGCGGGCACCTTGGCTTTAAGGCTCAGAGAGGTCTTCTGGGGCTGGCACCTGCTGATAGCTGCCTCTGCCTCTTACAGGAAACCAGCTGGTGCCAATGGGAGGTGCCTCAGTACTCTGAGTGACATCAGCACCTTTCCCTGGCCAGCCCCTGCTGGTGAGGACTGGTGGCAACCTGGGCACAGCCCTGTGGCCCAGAGTCCTGCGCCCCCCACTGTCCCTACTTCACCTTCTAATTGAATTCCTGCTTGCTTTCTCCTCTAAGCCATATTCCTGCCTCCTTTCATCAACGTAAGTATTCCCACTCTGCTCAGGTGGAAGTTCTGCAGCTGGGAAGACATGACCCCCACTTCCACGAAGTGCTGAAAGCCAATGCTGGGGTACAGGGAGCCCAGCCTTAGAGGTCCTGGAATTGGTCCCGCAAAGCCTGGCTGTCCCTTGTTATCCCTGTTCCTGGCCCCAGTGTGACAGCCCATGTGAGCCTTGGCCAGGGGAAGATGGTGAGAAGTCAGCACAAGGGCAGGAACAGGGATTTTTCAAAAAGACAAGGCTCTGTTCATAGCAGCACATGCTCGTAGTTCGACCTCTTGGGAAGCTGAGGCAGTAGAATCCACAGAGCAAGTCCAGACTGTTCAATGCACTTTCCGTATTTCCAAATGAAAACCAGAATGGGCTGGGATGAGGATCAGAGCAAAGGCGTCCTTGCTGTTGCCAGAAGATGCTCCATCCTAAGCATGACCATGCTCCTCCCTCGTCATCCCTGGCCGTGAAGTAAGGAGACACTGCCAGGGCCAGACTGGTTAGCAGATGTTTCCAGTGCTTCCTTGAACAACCTCTGCATGGTGGCTGAAGATGTCTTTATGCTTATTGCCTTTCTGCTGCACATTTTGCAGGGTTGGGGTTTTTTACCTTTGGCCTTCACCAATTTTTAAAATGTC